GTCGCCCCCCGAACACCGGTGGCCCCAGGGCAGCGGAGCCGAGGGCTGAGCCGAGCGGTCGCCCTCCCTGCAGCCGGGACGGTGCCGGTGCATGCCCTGCCTGCCGGGCCGCAGGGAGCCCGGCACAAAGCCTGTGCCGCAGAGCTGCCGGGGCGCCGTGTCCCCGCACAAGGGCTGTGGTGGATGGAGATGTCCATGTCGCTACAGAAGACCTCCTGGTGGCATTCTGCTGTCAGTCTCCTATGTAATTAGCCTCTCTGACCAATCCATTAAAGAATAATTAAAAGCCAGGCAACGTGACATTTAATCAATAGGAAAGTTATAGGTGCAAGCAGGAGAGAGTACCGCACGGGAGGTTCGCAGCTCTCCCCCGTGTGGGTGCCCATTAATCATTTCTCCTGAAAGCCGTGCAGAGCCGCAGGCTCTGGGGAGAGGAAAACAGTCCTTTGTCTCTCGAGGGAGGAAAAATCTGATAGTCGGCGGAGAGGCTGGGAGGTTTTATTTATCGGAGGGCCAGGCAGGGCGCGCGGCTCGGTGCCGGCTGCGGGGACGGGGCTGGGGGCTGTGGCAAGCAGCCACTGACCAGGGCACGGGGGTAAATGGGGGAAACAGGAGGAAATCTGCACTCAGAAGCATTACGTTGCCGCCTTCCTTTCCTAGCTGGGCTCTAGCAGTACTTTTTCTCTTTGCCCAGTAAACACACGAACGTTGCAGTCCTGTCCGCGGTTTGAGGGAGGTTCATCAATTACCGCCCCGGCGATGGGAGGTGGCGGGGTGTCCCGTGCGCTGCAGGCGGGAGCAGACGGCTTTTCTCTTCTCTCCGCTGCCATTAAGAATAGCAGTGGCCGTGTGGCGGCTCCTGTGGAGGGCACTGGCGTGGGCTGAGGCTCCCGCTATTGCGAGGGGCCCGAGCAGCCGGGCTTCCCCCCGGCGCCAGCAAAGAGCAAAATGTCCCGCGCATCGTCCTTCCTCCTCCTCGGCCCCCCGCGGTCCCCGGCAGCGGTTGGTGGGGGCAGCAGCTGTGGGGACACGGGCACGGGGCCGAACTGCCACCAGAGGGGAGTGTTGGTTTCCACTCAGGGAGTGCGGGAGGGGCGGCTGGCAGGGATGCAGGATGCGTCCTCCCCGTAAGGGCGGAAGCCAGGGGACAGGGATGCGGGATGCATCCTCCCCACAAGGGCAGGAGCTGGGGGCAAAGAGGCATTTCAGGAGGGATGCAGAGACTCAGGGGTACCCCTCTGCATCCCAGCAAATCTGCATGTGCCTCCAGGGTCTTGTTTCCCATAGGTAAGAGGTTGTATTTCCTTCTCTTTAGGCTTTGAAAAGGAGATGTCCAAGCAGATGGAAAAGGATGGGCCGGGCATCTTCCCTGTGAGTGCCTCTTGCTTCCTCCTCCCTCGCCCGCCGGGATGCTCAGGGCGGCGGTGCGGTGCGGTGCTGAGAGGCGGTGCGGTGCCGAGCGGTGGTGCCGGCGCGGCGTGGGGCTGTGGGAGGCTGATCCTCCCACCGCGCCGTGCAGAGGGCTGGGGGGACGCTGCAGCCATCCTTGCTGCTAATCCCAGAAGTGCTGCCAAAACCTCTCTGAAACGGGTTTCCTTGGGAGGTAAAGTTCTTGAAAAGCCCACGCAGGGACTTGATAAAAATTGCAGCGATTTCCCAGCAGAGGAATGACTCTCCCCGGGTGGGCACTGCCGCTCGCGGGTGGGAGGGAGAGGTGCTGGGGATGGAGCAGGGCCGGTGAGGAGCCCGAGCTGCGGCCGTGGGAGGGCAACGGGGGCAAACGCTGTGTTTGGAAGTGGCTGAATGACAGTGAAAGGGCAGAGGAGCTCCCGGGGAAGGGCCGAGCCGCAGGACGGGGGCTGTGTCTCACGTGGAGGAGTCCAGGGCTGGCTCTGACCGCCGGTTGGTGCCTGTGCCTTCTGCGAGGGATGCTCAAACCCTCCTCCAGGAGGGCGGCTGACAGCAGGGACGGGGGATTGATGAAAACAGCTCTGCAGCCACCAGTGTCCCTGGCACCCCCGCAGTGGCACACTTGGATGGGGACACCCCCGGTGTGCCCCGAGGAGCCATCGGAGCGGCCCCGAGACCCCTCCGCTGCAGGGGGGACCCCGTGCCAGCTTAGCCGCCCCTGACCAAAGCTGCTCGAGGTGGCAAGCAGATGACAATGAGATTAGCAACATCAGCAAAATTAGCTTCTCGGAGACAGATTTAACTGTGCTAAGCCCCACAAGGACATTAGGCAAAGTGAACCTTTTGTTTGGTGCTGGGGCGAGCGTGGGCAGACCCTGCGCCTGCGGACGAGCCGGGGTCATCCCCAAACCGCAGCGTGGGGGGTTTGCCGTGGGGCAGGCAGTGGGCAGAGGTACTTGCAGGTGATCAGGCACATGTCTGCTTTGGGGAGATGCTGTGGGGCGCTGCTGCCAAAACCACAGGGCCGACCCCCCCCAGTGTTAGGCTGCCCGGACCCAAACCTGCACCCGGGGGTGGCTCCTGCACGGGCCACCGCTTGCCCGTGGCTACGGGCAGCAGAGCTGTGAGAGCCCATGCAGGGCTCGGTTGTGCTTGAACCTGGGCAGCAGTCAAAGTGCAGGGGAGGAGGAGGAGGGGGAGAGAAGTGCTTTAGTGCTCTGGTTTCCAAAACACAGCAAAAGCGGGCGGCCTCCTCCGAAGCACTTCTCTATTTATGGCCTGGCAGCCGGTTCCCAAGGAGATGGCTGCTCGGGGCTGTCGCTTCGGCTGGGATGATAAAAGGAGGAACAGGCGGCGGCGCAAGTTTGCAGGAATG